AGACAGATTGAGGGCATTAAATACTTTACGTTTGCCCATTAACTGAACTCATGTATGCAGTAGGGGCTGCTGCTGCTGCTGCTTCCGGAGTCCTTGGATGGATGATGTCACCTGAGTTGTTGCATGCTGCTCCCGTTATCCTGCTGGTGATCCCTCTCCACCGCCAGCTGCTGCTGCTGCTGCTGCCGTTTGTTTGTCTGTCCGACTGTCTGTTTGTGTGTCTGCTTGTCTGCTTGTCGGCTTGTCTGCTTGCTGCTTGTTGTTTGTTGTACGTGTCGTCGTGGTGTTGTACGCACGTAAACGATGCCGAGTATTTATTACGCGCACAACTTGACATAATTCCTTTTTTCCGCTCTGTCAGTTGAGTCAAGTACAGGCAGGCAGACAGGCAGACAGGCAGGCGGACAGACAAACAAGTATGCTTTATGAGGCTGCAGCCGGCGGGGTGGAGGCACTTGCTGGAGTGTTTGCTTTTGCAATTGCACAGCTCAGATGCTGTTGATGCGGTGTAAATGGCACTTTGGTCGATGTCTGTGGCGATGACACTGCGTGGCCAGCTAAGCAGCCGCCGACGACAACGAGGCTGAGGACACCGCTATGGATTTATGTGTGTGTGTCTTACATTACGAGTACATCATCGAGAGTGTTCAATTGGTATTATCACCAGCATTGTCATCATCATTATCAGCACCAGCATCATCGACGTCCTCGAGTTGAAAATAGAAAACAAGTTTTGACTTAACAACTTCATTAGCGACGGGGAGCAGAGACGAGTTCTTGCACTTAGTTTGTGGATGCTGTCAACGTCGAGGCGAGCGTGTGTGTGAGTGTGTCACACAATGAGATTTCTTAGAGCATTAAACATAATCAGCACAGCAGTAGCAGCAACAACAACAATAACAACAGCCAACACCATTAACAGCCAACAAACTGTAAGCCAAAATGGCGGCAAACGGAGACGCCATCAACGCGAAAATAATACGAAAAATGCGGCGCTAATGGCAAAGCGCGCCACACTCGCCGGCATAACGAACAAGAATCTAGAGAAGAAGAACAAGAAGAAGAAGAAGAAGAAGAAACAGCAGTGGCAGCCGTGCCGAGCGAAGCATGCGAAAGCAAACGATATTATGATTATGATTATTATGTTGTTATTAGATTAAGAGCAATTTTAACTTTTTTTGCCTTTGCGCTCACACTCCCACACCCACACCCATCCCAATCCCAATCCCCACCCACAGCCATCAGCATCAGCATCAGAACCAGCACCAGAACCAGAATCACCCTTGCCTAGCCCCAGCGCCGACACCGACGCCATCCGGCACTTGGCTTTGTGCCTGCTCCCATTACTTTGCCATTGTTACTCTACTCTTTTTTGTGCGCCAGCGCCTTCGCTTGGCTTACGACACTTGACGCCCAAGCAAACGTTGGGACTGGGGGGACGGGCGGACAGGCGGAAAGGCGGGTAGGCGTAGGGCAGAGAGTCAGCTTCTAGGCAACGGCCCAGCAGAGCGTTCGACCCATTGTTCTGTGCTCGGCAGTGCGTCTTGGCCACGCTTAATTGGTTAGCTTTTATTACTTGGCAAGTGCGCCGAAAGCGCATAATTTTCATACCTACTGTATAAGCACCGCACACTGATACAAAACGAGCGCATTTGAAGGAATTTACAGCGTTTTTTGCGATTTCATCTCAAGTATTTTCAAACAGAATTATAAGTTTTTAAAGACTTTAAAACAATTATAAAAACAATTTATTTAAGAGCTGTTTCTTTATGCAGGCATATTATGTTTTGAAATTTTAGAGCCTAGACAGAGTTAGTTTATTTCCTATTCACTGTTAAAATTATTTCAAATATTTATTAACAAACAATCTTCAATTTGTTAGTAATGATAAGCAACTATTTTAACAGCGATCTTTTATTAACTGTTCTCATGAAAAAAATATATTTTTGAATAGTTGCAAGACGAGTCTACTATGTAGAACCTTCAAGCGATATTTTGATAGAATTTCATACACAAACGTACTACAGATTCCCACCTGGGAAACGATTTCAAGAGCGTAATTATCGACAGCTCCTAATATATTTCTCCCAAGAAACAAGTATTGCTTAAAATATATCGTCTATTTATCGTCTATTATTAGCATTTCTCTACCGCCTTTAAACTTTTGTTTCATTATCTCTTGTCTTTTTTTTTGAGAATTTCTCTAAATTTTGTCTCAAACCTAAACACTTCTACAAAGCTATTAGAAGCCAAATTTTTCTGAAATATGAAATTCTCATTTATATATCAGTTGACTTGCTTTGGAGATATTGCATTGCCTTTTCGAATTTTATATACTCGTACATTTGTTTCCTCCAAATTATCAAAAGCTGTGCATATCAGAGTTTGGAAAAAAGATTTCGTTTATGTGCGTAGTCGTAACTGTCTTTCGAGCGACTGTGTAATTAAGGATTAAGTATTAGCATCGTTTCCGGTTCCAGTGTGCGCCGGCAAAGAAATGTTTTTTTAATTAAATGAGCGCCAAGCATTAGTGAGGCGGCAGCTCTATAGCCATTGCTGTCTTGGAGTCATGCTGGCTGCCTGTGCTGGCTCACTTCACACCTACACACCCATATACCCGTACAGTCTCACACACACACCCACACACACTTTCCGGCACCCAAGAGGCCCACTGCGGCACGTGCTTTGGTAGTTTGCGGCGCCATTTTAGCGCGAAATGAATTTAAATTGTTTGCCGAGGCTTCCTGCATTAAGGGCAGCATCAGTTTCCTTTGCTCGCTGGCTGGCTGGCTGGCTGGCTGGCTGGCTGGCTGGCTTTTCTTTCTTTTCATTTTCTTGCACCTTTTTCTGGGGTAGAAAAACGAAATTACTTAATTACAACAATTATTAAATACCAGCCCAAATGTCTGCGTATTTTCGAGAAGAACAAGAACAACAATAGCAACAATAGCAGCGACGGCAGAAGAAAGCCCACGATGACGTCGACAAAGGCAGCGACGTGTCGACAGACACTAAAGCTAAGGCTCCTCCCATTCCCCTCCGTTGCAGGCTTGCTGTGTTTCTATAGCTGCCTTTTGTTTGTTGTTTCTTGTTGTCTGTTATTTTAATTAAATATTTTCACACCTACTTCATTTAAGCTTTCGCCAGCCATTGCTTTGGCATTGAGGTGTTCATTTCCCGTCCTCGGGCGGCAGCTGCAACAAAGGGCATCAACAGCAACAACAACAATAGCAGCAAATTGCAATTTTCATTGAAAGTCTGCTCTAATAAGAATAATTGCAGGCTAGTGCTGAAAATTACAAGACGCGATGTCCGCGGCCCAAGTTTTATGCGCCGTAAAATTGCATGCGAAATAATTGAAAAGCATTGACTGCAGTTTATTCCTCGCATTGCCTCAACTGCCTTTGTTGCTGGTCCCCGTTATTATCCTTTGCAGACCAGTTGCATCTGCCAGGATAAAGTTTTCGCAGCGTTGAAATAATGGCATCCAAAGTGGTTATAAATATTTTGTGCCCCAACCGACACTCGACCCCGACCAGCAACTACAGGGTGACCGAATTTTCGGGCAAAAAATGTGTTTGCACAAATGTTAAGCAAACCTATTACAAGGCTTAATTGTCTTTTAATGACTTTGGCTGAAATTCGTCGCATAATCAACACAATGCAATATAATCCAATTGTAAGTAACAGCTATAATGAGGAACTCAGCATATTTTAACAAGCATTATCTTTTGTGTTCATTGAATATTTAATGAAGCTTATAAATCAGAAGACGTTCTCCAATGACCGCTCTGAACATTAATTGGAATTACCGGTTGTTTCTCATATTACACAAAGGTGTGGTCAGACTGAGAGACAAATAATTTGCACACAACCTTGTCGAATTTGTCCATTTCGATTGAAACCAACTAAGATAAGGCGTTCTGCCGCAGAATCTTTAATCTTTTTGAAGCCTGCTTGTAACTTTAATTTTTGGTGCAAATAATTTGTTGCTTTAGTGAGAATTCTGAACAGTTCTTTAACGGATATTCTTTACTTGTTATCAATAAATTAAAGTATTTTATCTGCTCGAATACTCTATTTTATTGTCAAATGAAGAGCATCAAGACCTTTTGAAAACCCCGATTCCAGCAAAAACTTATAACAGTCTTGCTTTAAGGAATAAAAGCTTTTAAATAAATGCCTTTATAACTATTTTAAACTATGTATCCTTAATATAAAGGTTTATTAACCCATAGTTGAACGACAGAGCCCATATACTATTACCATTTATGTTATAGTCGATAACTGTTTGTCTGACAATTTAAATAGGGATTTCTTAGAGCCAGTTTGGAGAGCATAATCTCCTTTAGGAATCTAATCTTATAATCTTAAACATGTTCCCCACCTATGACATTTCTATACAAATTTTTGTTTCTAATAATTGAGTTCCACTTAAAATATCAAATGTTCTGAAAGGAATTCGTCCACTTTTGTTTGTTTGGCAAGAAACTCCTAACAAATTAGTCGCATATGCTCTGCAAAGGTTATGTTTTGTTATACTCCTATGTAGCTGGCCATTGTGGTAAGCTGAAAAGTTTTCAAATTAGTAGAAACGGTCTCCCGAATGGGGCCACCCGTTGGACCCTTGCTGCGTGACAAAATGGCAGCAAACACAGCGAAAGTCATTTTTCAGTTAAATGAATTTGCGGAAGTTGCACCAACTGCGCAAAAAATGAGAGAAAAAACTTTGCAAGTGCTATGCTAAGGGGGGCGGTACGGCATACTTGGGAAACTGAAGCTGATGCTGAAGCTGAGGTTGCGCAGTCATCGCGGTCAGCGGGAAAAGCGGGAAAGGCGGAAAAAGCGGGAAAAGTTCAATGCGCAACTAATGAGGCGGCAGTCGTGGCCTGACCGAGTTTGCTGTTTAGTTTTTATTATTACTTAGATCTGGCTACTGCTGTTTACTTTTAAAAGAAATTTCTCATTCTCATTTCCACTAAATTGCATTTCAATTGCAGGTCCACCAGGCCCACCCGGACCACCCGGCAAGCGAGGGAAGCGGGGCAAAAAGGGCGACACCGGCGACAAGGGCGACCCTGTGAGTGCTAGAGAGCTTCCTGCCAGCAATCAGTATCGCAATCATCTTTTGCATTCGCACTAACTTCTCATCAATTGCAGGGTCTCAATGGCATCAGCGGTGAAAAGGGCGCTGCGGGCAGACCCGGCGACAAGGGCTCGAAGGGTGATGTCGGCCATCCGGGCATGGATGTCTTCCAAACTGTAAAGGTAAGTTGGTCGCTGCATTCCACATTCTCGAAGTCAGCTCGAAATTTCTGCTCAAAATTACTGCGAAACTCCAAAATCTCTAATCAAACTTAATTCGTTTTGTGCTCTGCTCTCCACCCCATCATCATCTACCCCATTACACAACTAGGGGCTCAAGAGATCGGTGACAACGCTGCATGGCGGCACGTTGGGCTATGCGGAAATTGTAGCTGTCAAGGTATTGTGGCCACACGCACATACACACATATATAGTATATAAATATATTTGCAACAGTATTCGTAGTCCAGTCCCACAATCCTTGCTACGACAGCCATATTTCAAGGCGAAATGCAGTCGGACTGTGCTTAAAATATTTGCAACTTGTTGTCCTCGACTGCCTTTTGTTGTAGTTGTTTATTGTTGTCCTAGCCGTACTCGTAGCCGTAGTCGTAGTCGTTGTCGTAGTCGTTGTCATTGTTGTTTGTAATGCTTTTAACTTGGCTCAGCTTTTTTGTTTAAACTGCACCATAAATTTGTACTGCTTTTGCTGTGAGCTTTTTGCTCAGTCATTTGGTGCTCCTTTCGTTTATCCTTCTGTAATTTTTAATGTTGTTGGGTATTTGCTGTGGAATTTTTATCATTGGATTTAAGTTGTAGTAGTACTTTGTTATTTTGTAGACACTCTTTGTTCTTAACACATTTAAACGCAGTCATATAATATTTCTCTAATGCATTTCTGCTCTCTAATGCGTTTGCACTCTCAGACTAATGTCTTATATTTTAGTCAGTGAGCAGCTACAAATCTATCAAGGACTTTGAAACTTAACAGTCTATTAAACTAGGATTAGCTTATCTGATCTTTAAGTCTTGCGAGTGGAAGAGGAAATGAAACGGAAATTAAACTTTGGTGTCAGACAAAATATTGTTTTTTTTTTTATTAGTGCAGATGAATTTTTAAATGTGTAAGCCACTTTTTTGTACACAAATAAAAGATTAATGATTTAGCGGTGTATGTTAATTATGTTTAAATAGTTCCAAATGGCCCGCAAAGTCTAATGCCATATGCTTATAAAGTTTGGAATCAATTTATGAGTATTTTAAACAGTTTATATCTCTAAGTTTATTCTCCGAATAAGGCAGGTTATCCCTTACTTAGACATGACTTATTTTTACTTTAAAAATCCGCATCAAATTAAGGACTCGTTAAGCGTCTTATTTTATAAAAAGAAAGTCACTTTCCTTTTTAGAATATGAAGAAAGTTTGTTTGAATGAAATCACATGTAGGGTAGACAAAAGTATTTCATAGAGCGGTGGCTGGTGTTTGAATCGATTTTTCTGTATTGAGCACACAACATTTTATGAGTTTGATTTGTTTTGTTTGGTAACGAATTTATTTGCATTAACGGCTAATCCTACTTATTTTTCGCAGCAGCCTAATCTGATTTGCTTTAACACAATCTTAATTTCTTAATATTTCTTTAACCCGTTTAACTTTTGTTTGTTTTTTTTGGTTTTGATTTGAAAACGTATTCCTAAACCTTTATGTGTTGGTGTTGTAAGGACTTGCAAGAAGCGGGCGTTAACGTATCCGCTGCTACGGTCATACAACTGAAGGTAAGTGCCAGGATCCTAGCATGCCATACACACTCGTATGTGTCTTTGAAACCTTTGTCCACTGCACGTTCGTCCCAGATTACGATTACCAAGAAATCTTTGCCTCAATCCCAATTGTACTAATGAGCAACATTTATTCTTAGGGCGAGCCAGGTGAGCCTGGTCCACCAGGGCCCCCGGGCGAGCCTGGAAGTCCTGGAAGCCCCGGCGAGCGCGGACCACCCGGCGAAACTGGAGCGCAGGGTGTGCAAGGAGTGGCCGGCGAGCCAGGTCCGATCGGACCTCCCGGAGTGCCCGGCGCAGCTGGAGCAAAGGTGAGCCAATGTGTGATGCAATGTACGGGAACGGGAAATAGAAATGGGCAAGGCAGAGAAAAAATGAAACCGCACTGAGGAGATAGAACACAAGCGACACGACTCCGAGTCGTCGAAAACGAAGATGTCACAAGGATTAATGCATTATTTGTATCTGTTGGATAAACATTGTGACATTTTAAGTGACCGACTACGAGTGAGTCGTTGTCGTCGTCGTCGTCGTCATTGTCATCGTCGTGTGGCTCTGCGCTAGAGTGCTTGTTTGTGTGTGTTTTATGTCCGTGCGCAGTCTGCCTTTGTTTTTCCCATTTTCCTGCCATTGTCTTTTTGTCGGTTTTCCACATTATTTATCGTTTATTTATGTATTTAGCCTGCACCTTTTTCCCTTTTTGCGTTTACATTTCCACTTAAAATCTCAACACACACACACACACATACACACACACAGACTCGACTCAATGACTCATGCGGCTTTGTGTCTCTTTTACAGGGTGACAAAGGCGATCGCGGCGATCGCGGCCTCACCACAACTATCAAGGGTGACGAATTCCCAACGGGCATCATTGAAGGTCCACCCGGCCAACCTGGACCACCTGGTAAGTAGGAAAAAGAGCAGCTGAGCGTCATCCTTATCCTCATTCCCATTGTCGAGAGGTACGAGTATGTGTTCGATATTGGTTTGCGGCATTTGTTTGTTTGTTTGTTTAACAGCAAATCCCAGCCACTTAACAAACACTCGCACACACACTCACTCTTATACATATACACTTATATAGTTGTATATAGTCGTAAACTAAGCCGCAGCTTGCTGGTGTTTGGATGAGAACCGATGAGTTTTTTCAAGTGCTGCCACGCGGCTGCGGGTCGTTTAATTTATTGTCATTGCAGTCCGAATGACTGGGAATGGGACTGGGACTGCGGCTGTGCCTGATTCCCTCCCTTCTCCGAGTACTACTAATACTACTACTACTATACAAGTAGTATGATTGTGAGTCGTGAGCCCGGGCTATCGCCTGCAGTGGCCCGCCCGCGCCTAATTGAGTCATTGGCGTGCGTTGCACTTTAATGGGTCGTTTGGTCCGCTCGGTGATTTGGGCTCTCACATCGGCCCCAGCATCTCGGGCTGGTGTGAAAAGCGTCTCGTTAAAATGTAAATCAAATGCCAACAAATGCGCCGCATGCATTTCCGCTTCGCTTTTATTGCCGCACATTTTTCAAATATTTTTTCGAATTTTTTCCACATTTGGAAATTTGTCTGCTCGCCGCGTTTTGCGATAACATTTACGACCTTTGTGTGTTGCAACGCCATCCGGCATAGTTCAGCGTCAATTAAATGCGCGCAATTTGGCCACAAAAATGTGTGGCCCATGGCACGCCCACAACAATACCACCAACAACAACAACAGCTATAGTATAAACAATGGCAGCAACAACAATAAGTTAAAAGTGATACAATTTCCATTTGGTTTATGTTTTATGAGTCAGCCGCCCGCGCTCAAACATATTTCTGCACTTTATTCGATTTTAATAAACGAGAATAGCTGCGGCCCTCCACCGCAATAGCATGTAGTCGGCATAGCTTAGGAATCCAAGCTATCCAGCGCTTGTCATAAAAATTTGTAGTGCATAGTGCCAACCAAAGCCCGGAGCCGAACAGACACTTCCCGGCATCATAAAGATGCAACTTTATGTCGTTTATGCTGCTCTTAGCAGCTCATTAGCATGACTGCCACTAGCACTGTACACACATGAAGATACGGACACATACGTGGATCTAGATGGAAGACTTCAACTCGTTCGCCAGCAACCCACAACGCTATTGTTTCAGCAGGGGTGCTCACTAGAAAGTTTCAACTTTAAATTAGGGCAGAAAACCATTCTTCAATCTGTCTGAGAGCGATTCAAAATGAATCGGGGAGCGAACCGAGATAGATAGAGCCCTCATCAGAGAAAAATACTTCAGTATTAGGACAAGTTAATATTTAAATTGACAAGCTTTTGTTTAGCTTAGAAGTTTAGAATTGCACTACATTTTGAGGCCTCTCTGTTCTTAAACTTAAAATCAAAGTATTACTTAATAATTATCAAATATTCATTTCATTTAAAACCAGTACTTGCAGATAATTTCTTCAAAGAGAATGTAGGATGTCAGATTACAAGTATAGTAAGGAAATAATCGTTCATTTATAGCAATTAGCATGGCTTGAATTTTGAAGATATAGCTAAAGCTTCGCTTCATGTTTAAAATAAATCATGAAATGCATTTAATTTATTAATTTAAAATAAAGCTGCCTTTAAATCATCGTTCAGGCGCAGTTAGAATTATTATATTTATGTATTATTTAGCTTCAGTTTACAATGCAAACACATAATTGAAACAGAGGCCTTCAAGTATTCTTTCAATATTCTTTAATATACTTTAAGATAATTGATATATTCGAAGTCTTTAGAAAGGCAATTGCCACAAATTTTAAAATGTCACAAGTTTTTTCAATAACTCTGTAAAGAATGTGGCATGATTTTTTGTTCCCCTGATTATCAATACCAATGTGGAACAATCATGGGAAGAAACCAATTTAAAAGGAACATTTTCGACTCCTGTCGCAACAGAAAAACAAAACAATAATGTTACAGTACTTTTTCTCAGATCTTGCGCAAACTTTTTGTGAGATTACTTCATTGAGGGAGTGAAGCATTTGAAGTCTTTAGAAAGGCAATTGCCACAAATTTAAAAATGTCACAATTCGTTGGTAATCAGAAATGCCAAGACGAGTGAGCACCCCTGTCGAGCCTGACCGCTGACCAACTCGGGAGGCAAATGCTATCAATTAAGAGCTCGCTGCGACCCGCATAATGCACCTCCCACTTGACTTATCAAAGCATCAAAGCGTTGTTGTGTTGTTAAAGTTAATGTTGATGTTGATGTCGAAGTTGTTATTGTTGTCGTTCCCATTGTTTCTACAGACTTTTCTAGTTTTAAACAAGATCTGCAGCTGTGATAGCCGTAGCTGCGCCAATGCAGCCTTCCAGCCAGCCAGCCAGCCAGCCAACCAACCACCCACCCATCCATCCATCCAAGTTGCCTCGCACGCACAAACATACACACACACACACACACATAGAGGAGCAGTGGTTCGACCTCCTCTCTCCAGCATCATGTGTGTTTGTGTGCACGTTGATGAACATGAAATTGCAATTTATTTTCCCAAATCGTCACCGGGCTCAAGATGCCAGCTGATGGGACTTCGACGGCCATGGCGAGGGTCCGGCAATTGCTGCGCCAACTATTTGGCTTGATTTGAATAAATTGAATGTCATTTGTATTTGGAATGCCTGCTTCGTCTTATTTGGGCTCGTACCGTTCTGTTGCTTGCTTATCTTATCGTTGTCGTAATTAGTTAAGCTGACTTGTATATTATGCGTAGGTGGGCGGATGTCGGCGACAGATCTGGGGATCTGGGAACGGAGACGAATCGACCTGCGATAGTGCAGTGTTTGCGTCAAAGATGCTGGGCCCAGCACAGTGGCACTGAAAATTTCAATTTATTTGTTGATTTATTTGATTTTGATTTCATTTTATTTCTCTGATTGCATTTCATTCTGAACGACTTGGTTCCGAGGCTGCTTGCCTGCCTGCCTGCCTGCCTGCCTCTTGTCTCCTTGTCCCTGCCAGTGCGTATGAAATTAAAACTTATCTTTTGCTTTTCATCTGCATACATTTCATCTCGTTTCATTCGTTTTGCCAAAACAAGAAACAAAACAGCACAGAACACAGTATACAGTACACACAAAAAGAAATCCGAGCGCTCGACAATCCAATATCCTGCCACTATAAATCCACTGCACTGTCCGGCCTTTCTCCGCTCCGGCCTCTCTCCAGCTGCCATGTAAACTTTCGGCTAGAGGAGTAGTTTTTATTATGGTTGAAATTGTCGCCTAAAATGCTTAACGGTAAATTATGCTACCATAAATACAAACACCGAGCCGCAATGGCCAGCAGCAGCAGCAGACGCAGCAGTCACAGCTGAGGGGCCAGCAGAGGGACAGAGGGTGGACATACTTTATAAATAAATGGCAGCCAACAGCGTCCACAACAGGCAGTCAAATTTATGCACAGTCTGGCCGTCCGTCGACTGACCGACCTACATAGCCGCCCCGCCCCTAAACGCAATTTTACGAACTTAATAAATTGTCTATATCTTTTTACACAGCCCAGCAGCACAGCGCAAAACACACACACACACACACACACATACAGAGAGAAAAGGCGCACACACAGACTCATTTTGACAAGCCGCACAATTGGGTTTATCTACGACCAGGCGACTATCTTCCCTGCACTAGTGTGTGAGCCCTTCTGTGTATCTGTGTGGGGCTGTGTACTCGTAAATGGTCCCATTTAATGGCCACAACAAACAAAAAGCCGAAAACAATTTTTCATTATTTTAACTACAAAACACAGGTCGCAGTAGTCGTCATCAGTGGGCCGTTCCCAGTGCTTTTCAGTTTTCCAGTCGGTATCGAGGAAATAGGAGCTATGGCGCACAGCTAATTTTATGTCGATGGATTTATAGCCATGCAAATTGCTGACCGATATCTGAGCCCATTTGTAGTTTAAAAGTTAATTAAACGACTCTGACAGCAGCGTGCGGACATTGTCTGTGTTGTTTAGAGAAGTTATGGTTGCGCAACACAATTGGCACCCAGTTTGAAGCAAACTATGACTGTACTGGCCTTCAAGCGCACCCAGCTTCCATGACGATGCCAGCAAATGGGGCCGAGCTTATCACCTCTGAGAGCCAAAGCCTATTATAATGAAGGACTCTATTCAATTTGCATACTCTTTGCTGACAACTGCAAAGGCACATTCTCATTGTGTGTTAGTTTGTAACAGCCATAAGGAAGCATCATAGACTACATTTTACACATGATTAGAATATGTCGAGATCTACATGTTTATAAAGATAATGTAACTGGATGGAATACTGATGTGGCCCATGAAACCAGATTGTCACCTTTACATGGCAAATCTTTATCTTTTTCTAGTAATAGGAAAGTATGTTTCTCTATAAAAGGAAATCTCAAGCAAGGGTTTCCTTGAAGCAATTATTCACCCAGAGCTGGCGTGAAATTATTCTTGAAATTGAAAATATAATTTCTTAAAAGCAGATATATAATTTCTTTTATCGATATATTTGAATGTAAAGAAAAAGAATGGCGATAATTTTTTCAAATAAGAAAGATTGTCTTATATTTATTTATTATTATTTATTTATTCCTTGAGCAAATTTTTTGGGAATTAATGGTAATTATTTTTTGGAGAGTAACTTCCAACTGAAGCGAAGGCTATATAGATATTCATTCCACGTATATTTCTTTTATAAATAAAATAAATGGAAAACAATTGAATAACGTCATCTAAAAGTAATGTCAAATAAAGACTCATTTCGTCTAACAGATGGGAAATAAACTCATTTCTTTTAGTCCTACACTGTTTTGGCTGAATTTGTAGTAAAACTGAAGACTTCAGATGTAATATTGATGCAGTGATCGAAATGAGAAAAACACTTAATATCGCAATAATTTGCAAACCCATTTAGCAAGTCAATTAGTTGTTTAGCATTCATCTCACATAAGTAGTTTATTGAATGTGTTCATTTTATGGACAGGCTTAGCAAATTAAATTGAAACTGCCATTTGTTTCACTGAATGATTGATGTAGAATTTAATATTTGCGAGCATTTCTTCTGCACCGATTCACTCAAAAATGCCGAATAATTATTATAGGTAGAGAGTGAATCATAAATGGAAAGCAACTCTAATGTAATCACATGTGTGTGTGTGTGTGTGTGTGTGTGTGCGAATAATGCGAAGCAACTCTGCTCTGGTGCTTAACAAGTTGGCAATGTAGGTCAATCAATTTTGCATCGGCAGTACAAATTCAGAATGTGCTTCATTAGTTCCAAGCGAATGGTAACTAGAGTGGGAACCGAATTGCCAAACCACTGTGAATTGAAGGCATTCTATTTTTGGCAAATAAACAATTTGCATTTGCATTTTTAACTACCCATCGAAACCCATCATCGCCCCGTCAGGCGACCAAATAACTGACAAACCTCAAAGCTCGCCTGTTGACAGCAACAGCAGAAACAACAACAATAGTGAGTGCATAATTACGAGGCCACGCCCACTGTTTGCACAACACTTGGCACTGAGCCTATTCATGTGATCTGTATCTGTATCTGTTTGTGTCTGTGTTTGTTGTTGTACAAGTATTGAAATCTGTCACTAAAAATGCAAAAATTAACATTTACAGGTCCGCCCGGAGAGCCCGGAGAGAGAGGGGAGGCGGGACCGCCCGGACCAGCTGGACCACCGGGCGAGAAAGGACCGCGCGGCAAGCGGGGCAAGCGGGTGAGTAAACCAAATACGGTGGCATCGCGGCCCCAAAACTCGTTTGCAGTCAATTTTAATTAGAAAACAGCAGCCTCGCAGAAGCGCTGCCTCTGAAAACTGAATGCGGCGATTTTGGTTGCTCGCCCCCCACACACACACAAAGAGTGGAGAAAAATGAGCGGAAAATGTATTATTATGTAAATGATTGTGTAAATTCCATTGTAAATGTTTGTGTGAAAATGCGCAAGAGCGAGCGAGCGAGCATGCAGCCAGAAGTTGCGTTAATTTAATGCTAATCTGTAAATATTTGTACAGTCGGAGAAACTTTGTAAATATACATATAAGTATATGCATATAGCATTATCATCATCATATCTAAATCCTAATGAGAGTTGCTGTTGCCATTGCCATTGCCTGGCCTGAAAGCCAATTGCATGCTGAATACATAAGAGCATGTGCTCCCAGCTTGTCCTTCCAGAAACACGTATACTCGCATAGAGTACGAGTACGAATATGTATGTAACCTGCTCGTGTTTTCCTGCCCCGGGGGCAACTGAAACTCATTACAGATACTTAAGCCATTTTTAAGGCGATGTTGATGTTGACAGCGTGCTCAGGGAGACAAGCAGACAAGCAGCAGTCAAGCGTAGGTACACACACACACACACACACACACACTCCTACTCATACACACACAATAAAAGTTTGTCAGAACAACTACGACAAGCTTGATGTAATGCCTTTGATTAAACGCAAAAGTATCTGTGAGTTGCGCAACGCGTATAATAGAAATTCCCCAGTGGGCCATTGGCGGGCGCGAGGCCGAACTACAGACAGACAGACAGACAGTCCAACACACACACACATACACACACATACACACACTCACATAAACATCGTTGTCGTTGGCGCCTCATCTAAATTGTCAAAAATGTTTTCGCGCGTAAATCTTCAACTTAATTTATAGCTCGATATAAGTATCTGCAGCATTTATCGGGGCATAGACATTTCTCGCTCACTGTATTCCAGCGCGTGTATAGTATATAGTATCTAGTATCTTAGAGCGGGTAATGTGTTTTGCCCCGGAATGTCAACAGTGCAAAGATACTTAACATTTTTATTGGCACTTGAAGCCTCGGCAGCTGTTGCCGCCTCCTGATGTGCTGATGGATATATGTATATATGGTATGGCGGATGAGGAATCAAGAATGAAGAATGGGGAGCACCGGCTGCTACTTTCAGAATTTTCATTTTTTGCGCACTTGACACACACACACACACACAGACACCAACTCGGGCAGCATATGAATATGTATCTGAGCACGTGTTTGTGTACGTTATGAAAAATGCATAAGCGGCGCCATCGCCATCGGTATCGCCATCACAGACTGCGACTGACTCAGTGGGGAATATGTATGAGGCCGGGCACTGGGCCGAGGGCTGAAGGTTGAGGGTGTGGATCTGCCCGCTGTGCTGCTCTGCTGTGCGCAAATATTAGCGCGTTTTGCCAATTTTCGCCAAAAACAGACTGATTATTGTGCAGCTCACAGAGAAACGCACACACAAACAGCTCATATGAGCGGGTGTGAGGGAGAAATGCAGAGCTACTTATAAGTATTGCATGGCGCCCTCGGCTATAACCAACTGATGTTTCCCAAACCTAGCAATACTCGTCTATTTGTGCCTAGTTTTGTTGCTGTAATAACGCGTAATAACAAAACAGTACAAAAGGCAGAACCCAGCCTCCTCCGCGCCAACTGTATTCCAATACGCCCCAAAACCCCAAACCCAACAGCAAACGTGCAGCGCACTTTTTATGACTTTTCCGTCGACTCGCCTCTCCTCGAAATTGGGGAGCTTTTAAAGTTTTCACAAATTTAAGCAATTACCCAAAATTTTGTTGCAAATGATTATTTGCATAATGTTGCTTAGCTATGGAATTATTTTTCTCTTCCCAATGCAATCAGTTTTCAAATCCGAAGAATATTGCATGTTATTCTTAATAAATAGATATAATTTTGTTCAACCAAAATATTATTTTTTTACCACTTAATTCTAAAGTATTCGCCTATTAAGATTTGTTTTCAAACATTGTTAAAACACTTCTTTAGCTAAAGTGTGGTTGAACTATTTAAAGCCATAGCTCCCACAACTTTTAAAGTGGCTTTCCAGTTGACGAAATTACCTTCCATTGTTTGGTTTTATAAGCACCTTCTTTTCCTGATCAATCATTTAAAGCTTGTGCTTCATTTGCTGAAGCCCATTAATCAATGCCGATGTCCAAGCACATTACTCTTGACACATCACTTACTATAGTTGTTTGCTATAATTGCAAACGACAAAAATTGACGTCAAGGATTTGTTTTTTAGCTTAGGTATTGATTCGGTAATAGTAGGGCAGTCAACATTTAAAAAGAAACCAGAAGTTCCCGAAATAAATGAAAAGGAAATAAACAAAGTGTCTCGACTTGTGAGGGAATGAAGCAGCTATTGAAGCTATCGAGAATGCTCTGTATTTTATATAATTAAGGAATATAAAACTATATCTAACATTTATAGTCGTTATATATCACATTCAACTGTTTATCTTTTATCTTATATCCTCAATAGACATTTTTTATGATAACTATTTAAATATTCTTTTAAATTTTAATAATTCACTCATTTTGTGAAAACGGAACTCTAAACCCAAATGGAAACAGGCCTGTTAAAACCCTCCTATCATTAGTCAAGTTGATGATTATAAAATATTATCATTTTTTATAAATATAGTTAGAAAACTGATTAAACGTTTAGGAGTTCAATCGAATAAAACGATTATAAAATATTATCATTTTTTATAAATAGAAGTATAAACTAACTATAACTAAACGTCCCGTCGGGGGTCCCATCGAATTAAACAGAAAAACAATTTTCAGTTTTTTATTTTGAATAGGAGCTTAATATTAGGATTTGGGGAGATGTGTGAAATGTATTAATAGAAGTACGAATATATTGCCTAGGAACACACCTTGGCAAAACAGTTTTGGCTTTCGATTGTTTGTTGTGTTTCTGAATTGCCGAACTCATCGAGCTACCCTCGCATTCGCCTTCAGCTGCGGGTATCGCCTTTGCCATGCTACCATGCCATGCTTATGCTGCCGTGCGCACTCGTGCCGTGATGTTTGAATGTGCCGATTACGCTGCCTCACTTAACCCAGAGCTGCGCCAGTCCTAGAGCTCCCATTGGAGCTGCAATTGCGCGGCAGGCAGGCAGGCAGGCAGGCGACGTGATGTCAAAACAAATGAAAGCCATAAGAAACGGCACCTTCCCCGTCCCTGTCCACCACTGCCGAGCTGCATGAATGCCACCATGGGGCTTGCAAACAAACAAAACTTTTGGCAACAAACAAAAGTTCGCGTCCAGGCTGAGACTGCGCCTGCGACTGCGACTGCGATTGAGGAAGGCAGCTGAACATAAAAAAATTATTTGCAACAATTGCCTTCATCTTCGGCTGGCTGGGTGGCTGTCTGGCTGCCTGGCTGCCTGGCTGCCTAGCTGGTTGGGTGTCCGGGCAGGCGAAACGTGACGGCTGCCGGCGGCGCGTCAATTTTTCAATTCGAAAATCAGCGACTTTGATTTTTGTTGGCAACAAATGCCAAAACAGCAACAGTCAGGCACAGATATTACCAAGGCTGATGTGAAGGCTCCTGCCGCTGTCGTTGACGACGACGATGTCGATGTCGATGATGCTGTCGATTTGGTTAATGGGCCTGCTGCCGGCATTGGATGCGCCTCATTTCAACACGCGCGCCGTTTCTCGCTCCAAACCACGAGCACGAAATTCTTATTCTTTTTCATAAACAATTAAAAATTAGCGCGCTGGCTGCATTAAAAATTCACATAATTAGTTCGGCAAGTCGTAAAAAATTAAAAACTGCTTGCGTGTTGCTTAGGCAGGCCTTTATCGTCCCTCCGCTATAATGTGTGTCTCAAATGTGGCGTTATGGCTGGAATAATTCCGTACGCCTTCATCTTTCTCGGATCTCTTGCCTTAAGCGAACGCCGACCGTAGGCGTCATAAAAAGCGCAATTGTTGGCATTAAAAATTTGACATGTTATTCTAGTCGTCGCGTCCAAACAAAACACTCGCACATACTCGTACTCGCATGTTGCGTCATGTGGCGCGGCAGCGGAGGAATGAATACTGAACAGAATTTGAACACTGCCGCAATAATTGTGTTTAGTTTAGCATTAAATGCGACGAGGAATGTTTTTGCAGCTGCTGCATTCGAGTCGGGGAAATCGGGAATTGCTGACAGTTCCCTCCTTAAATTGATGCATACTTTTTCTAAAACTCTGCTTATCGCATTTATAAAGCAACCTATTGAAATACTGCTCTATTTTAAATTCAAATTGGATTTGTCCTTAAACGCCTTAGATGTTGAATTTGTTAGTTTGGGAGTTAAAAGGGCGATTAAATTATTTAATTTGGCTGCTTTCCTTTACAACGCGAAAAAAGCGCTTCAAGTTTTCCTTAAAAGCCAGTCAGAGAAATCAAAACAGATATTTTTAACTCAAATAAAATTAGCAAGCTTCTCTTGATGACAATTCATATCAATTCATCACTTTCAAGTTCCGAAATGTATTGAAACAATCGCAATCTATTTATGTTGGAATCAATTGAATGAATGCTAAACCTTACAATAAATAACCGCTTTTAGTTGCATTTTTCACGTGGAAGAATAAGACAACAAGTAGTGTTGCTTCAAATCACAATCAAAATACAAATGTTGAATGAAACTGTGCAAATTATTTCGAATGTCCTGCGCTCATTCATTTTGTCATTGGCGTTAAATTCAAATAAAATGTATATCAGCTTTGAGGGAATCCTTGTGTCGAAAATTGTTTCCTCCATTAATTCTGCTTTTATTGGCGCATCCATTTATCAGAAATTTCAACAACAGCTCACATCACTTCACATTGCCGCAGTTAAATCAAAAATGCTTCCAATGATGCGCCACAAAATAAAATTTTT